CGGAATTTTTTTAAAGAAGGGTCCCTTTCGTTGTTCCTCCGGAAGGACAGTCCCTCGGGCATGGAAACAGAGACATCTGGCAATCCTGCAACCTGGGAAAAGGAAGGCTTGATCGGGGTCTGTTCACTTGATTTACGAGGCTCGGCCGTTCCTCTAAAACAAGTGGCTATTCCGAATCGGTCGTCCAGGATAGGTCAACATTCTCTCCAGACAACCCTTGGGATGTTGCCCGAGTTATGGCCAACCCCGGAGAAGAATTAATCTTTATGGGTTCAGGACACGAACTAACAGTAGTAATGTTATTACCCGTAATAACACTGCATCTTCATGGGGAAATCCTTTTGAGACACCTACAGCCCAAGTAACCCAGTGTAATTTTTTGCACTGTACATAAATTTTATGCAAAGGAACGAATATATAGCTCCTCCAAATGCTTCCAATAAAACAGAGGAATTCAAAGAAGTGTTCTCTGAAAGGGGTAATATTCCCTCCTTACAAGTGACAAATGCTCCAGTATCTTAAAGGTCTTTACTTTATTGTTTCTGAGTTTTCCTGAAGGGAAATAAGACTCTTGCAATAATAAGGGGCCATACCTTTTTCTATTTCTCTAGGGGACATGTTACTAGGGATATTAGAGATTTTCCCAATGGGTTGGGTTTATGGGGGCAGTTGGAATGATGTGACCTACTTTTTGCACCTGAAGCAGACAAACAGGCTTGCCCTTTACTCCCTGTTGACGTTGCAAATGGTGTCGTTCTGGCTGGTGTCTCTCTGGATACTGTTGTCGAGATGCACCATGAGTATTTTGCCTCTCCGCAGGGGGACCATTTTGAAAGGGGTGGCTCACCAGGTGACTTGGTTGGCTGACTAGACGTTCTCCTCGGCTGGCACTTCATTCTTCCAAGGTTGACGATCTCTGGCTGATGCCAGGCTGTTTGAAAAGAGAGACGGGACCGCTCGACAAGGAGCGGTTAGTTTCGAAGGTATCAGCCAACCTGGCTGCCTCCAATGCAGTGGTTAAGTCACGATCCTGCGAAAGACTAACCTCTGGTCCCACAGACTCCAGCAGGTTATCAATCAGAATAACTGCACCAGCTCCTCAAAGGTGAGACACCACTTCTTTATACCAGCTGGTAAAAGCTTTGGTTTGCTGTCTCACAAAGTCGATAGGGATTGACCAAGCGTCGTCTGCCAATTTGAAATTTGCGGTTTTTGGTGGGATACAAAGTATATGCTCCCAACACTGTGGTCTTCACTACTTTATAATCAGAAAATTCAACTCATTTAATACTGACTGAATTCCTGTGCCTTACCCGATAATGCTGTATGAACCAACGATTTCCCAAGCTGTTCCGGCCACCTCAAAGGGTCGAGCCTGATTTTCGAAGCTTTCGAAAAATTGCTCTGGTTTCGGCCTCATTGAAGCGGGGAACAAATGTACCGCTTTCTTTTAAACTAAAAATTTTTTACAGAATGCAAAACTGCCTCCTTTCTCTTTCCCTATCAAATTCTTCCTTGCGAATGCTCTCTGTTCCCTAGTTTTTCTCCGATTGATTTTTGCCAGCTCAAGTGCCAACAACGCTGATTCACCCTGAACAACCCAGCTGCACTATCCTGACCATTTTGCTGCCGTAGGTGTATCATCGTCCTCGTGCGAGAACAATGGGTTTTTGCCCTAGCTCCGTAGAGGGAGGAGTCTGATGAGCCATCTCTTCTTCTATAAGTTTGTCAGCCCCAAAAAAAAAATCAGTGAACGCAGTTGCACACTGTGACAGTGGTGTTTGTAATTTAATGCCAATGGGGGGGGGGGGGGAAAAAAAACGAGCAATTTGCCAGCAACGCTGTAGGGACGATTTAGGTAGTTATCCAAGTATATGCCGACACAGACGTCTGACTCGTCTATGTGGCATATTTTTCGCTATGCACAGTAGGAATGCAGAATACCCCAACGTAACACGTTAATTTTGGCAGAATACGCCTTAGTCTATGACAGTACGATTGCAGAATACGCATACAAGCAAAGCCGACTGCAAAATTCCTCCACACCGAACAGGCTAGTAAGAACTGACCACACAAAATTTGTAAACAATGCAGACAGCTACCTGTGCTAGAAGATTGACCGTATCCGAAGCGGAGCACACCGAACAAGCTAGTAGTGAGCTATTGAACGATCACACAATAGCAAGGCTGACCATAAAGCAACTGACACGCAAAATTTGTAAAGCAATGCCAGTCAGCAAGCTGCACAATGTTCCTGCTACGAGCTTCACCCTAAGCTCAACCGTTTTTCTAAGTCCAGCTCCAGCTCCCGGACAGGCCCCCATATTACAACCCAGGATTCCAAATGGCCTGTTATCCCAGGTGTAATGGGAGCAAAATAAACACAGCAGAAAAAGTTTAGACTTATATTATCCTTCACCAATTTAGAACAGCAATATGTACACTATGTACAGTGATAAGTATAGTGCACTCCACGGTAAGCAAGGCAGAAATAGAAGCCACAAGATAGCAGACCGTGCTTCAACCAGCTCTAGAATGGGAATGACAAGGGCAGACAGGAGAGCGGTACCCACATAACCTCTGTGATTGCCAAAACCATCTTTTTATTGGCTAGAACCTGGTCACTAGTTGAACGAAGGGGCCCCATCATCAACTCTTAGCAACCTGGTTCGCTGGTTGGGGGAGATAGCCTGTAAATGAGGGTGTGTACATGCGCCGAATAATGGTTATGTACTCTTTGCATGCCACAATATACAAAAAAGCTTCACAAGTACTGTCACCAATCATTGCAACACTCTTTAACAAATCCATCGAATCCTCTACCTTCCGCACAGTTCTCAAAATAGTGAGGGTCACCCCGATACATAAAGGTGGAGATCAAGCAGACTTGAATAACTATAGGCCAATATCTAACTTACCCCTTTTCTCTAAAGTCTTTGAAAAATTAATTCATAAGCGAATTTATTCCTACCTCGTCTCCCACAACATACTCAACCCCTGTCAGTCTGGGTTCAGGCCTAATAAAAATGCAAATGATGCTATTATACACATGCTAGAACAAATATACACTGCACTCGAGAAAAAAGAAGTCCCATTGGGGATCATTGATTTACATAAAGCTTTTGATACAGTTGACCATGATTTGTTGCACATAAAATTATCACAC